AATATACAATATTATGACACGTAAAATTCTAAATCAACTATAACTTTCTTACTTCTCTTCATAAATCAATTTGGTAAAAAGTTTTAGGTTTCTCAGTCTAACAAAAACCTGAAAAACAGAAAAAATTCAGAATAAACAAGTTTGTTACCTGACTAAAGTTGAAAATACAATGTAAATAGTTTGAAGTATATTCGTTCAAATTAAACACTGCAGAAATAATTTTTTTTTTACGTCTGCATGGAAGCTTTAAATTATTTCATTGTTTCAATTTGCATTACAATGTATCTGGAATATCCTGTCCAAAAATCATACAAATATATTCATTCATAAGCCAGTGAGAACCATTTAATTTTTATACTCAATTTCTCAAAATGGCTATATAAGCAATATACAATATTATGACACGTAAAATTCTAAATCAACTATAACTTTCTTACTTCTCTTCATAAATCAATTTGGTAAAAAGTTTTAGGTTTCTCAGTCTAACAAAAACCTGAAAAACAGAAAAAATTCAGAATAAACAAATTTGTTACCTAACTAAAGTTGAAAATACAATGTAAATAGCTTGAAGTATATTCGTACAAATTAAACACTGCAGAAATAATTTTTTTTTGACGTTTGTATGGATGCTAAAAATTATTTGATTGTTTCAATTTGCATTACAATGTATCTGCAATATCCTGTCCAAAAATCATACAAATATATTCATTCATAAGCCAGTGAGAACCATTTTACTTTTATACTCAATTTCTCAAAATGGCTATATAAGCGATATACAATATTATGATGCGTAAAATTCTAAATCAACTATAACTTTCTTACTTCTCTTCATAAATCAATTTGGTAAAAAGTTTTAGATTTCTCAGTCTAACAAAAACCTGAAAAACAGAAAAAATTCAGAATAAACAAATTTGTTACCTGACTAAAGTTGAAAATACAATGTGAATAGCTTGAAGTATATTCGTACAAATTAAACACTGCAGAAATAATATTTTTTGGACGTCTGCATGGAAGCTTAAAATCATTTCATTGTTTCAATTTGCATTACAATGTATCTGGAATATCCTGTCCAAAAATCATACAAATATATCCAGTGAGAACCATTTTACTTTTATACTCAATTTCTCAAAATGGCTATATAAGCGATATACAATATTATGATGCGTAAAATTCTAAATCAACTATAACTTTCTTACTTCTCTTCATAAATCAATTTGGTAAAAAGTTTTAGGTTTCTCAGTCTAACAAAAACCTGAAAAACAGAAAAAATTCAGAATAAACAAATTTGTTACCTGACTAAAGTTGAACATTTTTTACTGAAATCTTCTTAAATAATTATCTTTGCCAAGTAACATTAAAACTTTAAGATACTAGAGGCTCTTCATATTTCCCAAACCCTGAAAGAAATTAAAATTTCAAATATCAAAATTTTAATTTAGATCAAACCGTAATCTTAAAATAGGCCTTGAAGAAAATACAATGTAAATGCATGTAGCTTGAAGTATATTAATTTGTACAAATTAATTGCTTGCTTAGAATTACATAAATACTGCTTGACAAGACCTATTACTTTTTGGGGTTTGTGATAAAAAAGGCATATAACATCTACAACTTTAGATTATCACCCCATTCAATAAGTATCAGGTAACACAAGTTGTATGACGACTAGACCGAGGATAATTTTTTACCATGAAAATGATTCGAACCCGAAGCACCTAATCGCCTTGCAGACGATAATTCAACTCATAAGCGATTCTACCACTTTATCAGAGAATATCATGTTACTCAATGGAGTCAATGACTACAACTTTTTTTAAAGTATGGAATGGCTGTAGAATGTTTATCCTCTGGTCAACACCAATGACAGTACACGATAAACTTGAATAACTAGTTGTGCAGCTTACAGACCGTTAAAAGTTAAAAAATTCTGCATGTATTCGTTTTTACAGCCAAGGATTCGGAATCTTTCTGATACTTATGCTCGATGTCGGCCATGTTTGTTCACATCCAACAGACTCGAACTAAAAGTCGTAATGAGCTATAGACGTCTGAGTCTGGTTAATCCAAAATATAATGTGCTTCCGGTTTACGGAAATTACTTGGAGAGCCGACTGTAATCATTCGGCAACACCCGTCAAATTCCGTATATGGGCACGTGCCTCTGTCTCGAACATTTAGTTCTAATAAAAATCTAACAGTCGATTTTTGACATCATTCAAAAGAGTTATTCCCCTTAGACCGTAAATGACGTATGGTCGTAGACTTGATTGTCTAATAAGCAACAAAATTGCACTGGTACTTTAGTCTCGAATATCAAACAAAACAAATAGAGCGATAAAAACAAAATGGCGGCTTTTTGTCAAAAGTTTCAACTGTACATCAGTTTAAATATGATAGGACCAATTCAAACCACTGTCATGGTAAAATGGGGATTTGATTACATTCATGCACGATTCTATGAGGTCTACATACAGTTTTGACAGCTGTTGTGTCTTTTTTCAGTCTGGACTCGAAGGTCAAAGTTGTGAGGCGATGGAAGTGCCAAAACGTAAACAAACATGGCGGCTTTATTGTTTACATTCATTAAAATGTTAATCAAGTGAATTAAAGTCGTTTCTTAATCAATCTGTGTGTTTATTTCATAGAGAATATGTTGAAGTGTGTCTCCATTGCTTCAATGAGGGATGTAAATGCATTGGGAGGACCAAATAAGACTTACATGAGGTTTTACATCAGTGACAGTCCAACTGATAGTAAAGTTTCAATGGAAGATGTCTTTCACAGGCATCAGAATTTTTCTTACCAAATCGCCGGCAGACGAGCTACCTACTGAGGCTGAGCTATTCCTCTGCCACTTATTGGGGGAAATTACCTAGTCAGGACAGAAGCAATAACTGGGCTCGTTGTTATTGATTTGGACTGACAAATAACACATTAAATGATATAAAACAATGGATTATTCTATAGAATCTATTATTGTACAGTAAATAGACAAAGAATTATCAGAAAAAAGGTGACTTTATCCAGAAAGTTATGATACAAAATCATACAAATAATTTGATTGACAAGTGAGAAATACTGGGATTTTAAATGATAATACCAAGACACAATATCTTAAAAAATATAACTCATAGTATTGTTTCATTTTTTCCTAGCTCTGTACTTAAGTAACATGGAGTGCAGATACCCACAGAAAATACAGAAACAGAATATCTAGAGGAGTATCATAATCAGATTGAGTGGTGAAGTAAGCCACAGAGAACAAAGGAAACCAATTATCTAGAGCTGTATCAGGGTTGACTGTAATAATAAACATAAAAAGCCGTTAGGTAACAATTAAATAAACTAGTAAAGATAAATGGGAACACTCGCTAAAAGATAATTAGAATGAAAGAAATATGGCCAAGGACTGTCTTCATAGCCTTAAATCGAGTAAATCATGTTGTATGAAGTCATTTTCTGCTAAAATAAGCTTTGAAAGTTTTACATTTTTACCAAATGCCGCCATATTGTTTACACCGGAAGTCACGTGTTACAATACTGCAGTAATTTACTTTGTTTGACAACCAAGTCTACCTGGTTAGTCTTTTTACTACCGATGACAGTCAACTACTGCCGATTAATAAATCAAGTGCATCTTTTCACAGCCGAAGATGACCAAAACTGCCATTGACTAACGATTATAAATAAATTCGATTAATTGTGTGTATACAGTATTATTCCCGCGTTTTTTTTTATTTTCTGGAGATTACTTGTCAGCCGCCGCCCTCTCACCCCTCACAGCGCCGAAAACATTTTTTTCGGGCGAAAATCTCATAACAAGATTAAAGAATCGGGCAATCTCAGATATCTCGCAACACCCCCCACCCCTTGCCCCCTCTCGGACGTAAACCTGGCTCCGCCTCTGGCAGGGCAGTTAGTTAGCTGCCATCTTGAAAAATATTCAGTCATTATTTGATCCTGCAGACCAAATCGGATTTTCTTTTTTCATATTGATTATGTTAATCGAATCAGACTTAAAATTGTACCCTATCAAGAAAGGTCACGACTCCAATTCTAAATATTCGTAGTCTTCATCTCCCAGACAAAACCTTGCAATTTATCTTTTGAATCCATTTATTGTTTGTCTCAAAAATCGACAAAAATTGGATTTTCTGACTTTGGTTCTTCCTCCCCTAATACCCCCCCCCCCCCCCCCACCCTCACTTTCAAATCTTTTTGTACCCACCCTTTTGGAAGCGGCACTGCCTCACAGTGTATTTGCGTTCTGCGGACTCATGATTTTGCCGGTTCAATTTCAGCCAACTTTATGGGACAATCCACAATCCTGCTTTAAAAAAAAACAGTCGGTAAGAGTGAAAGAACCTTAGAACCTCAAGCCTAATTAATTCTTGATCGCCCAGTAACATTACAAAACCAACAAAACAAATAACACACTGAAGACAGATGGTTTGTGTCGAGAATTACCAGACGTTCTTAACGAGATACCTTTGATGAATTGAGGCGAGGCATGATGATCTTTTTCCATCACCCGATCCTCAAAATATTACAACTAAAAAAAATCAAGGGGTCCACCATATTCAGATTTTAGGGAATCATTCATCCCTTTAATCAAACATGCCACAATCAAAGTCGAATAAGCTGAAAAACCACCTTTAATGGGACACTCAAAATGCCAGTGTTTTGGCGCGGCATGTTCCCACCGTCTACTACGTTTTTTATATATTTGCAGACACCAAGATAACATGTTGTTATTAAAACTCCCAAAACCAAGAGAAAGAAATAAACACCTTCTAACAATAACCGCCAACGCTTTGACCTTCGACCTACAGCCGAAATCCATTGGAACACATTCGAAATATATACAAGCAATTTGCACTACAGCTGTGAGAGACTGGTTGTTCGAGACTGGCACCAGATTTCCAAAAATAGCAGACGAAAATGAACAGGGATAGAAACGTAAGAACAGAATTTGGCCCAAATGTGACTTTTCTTGGATAATGGCTGATTTGGAGGAACTGAATTACGATGACTTGGACGAGCTGGATATTGAAACCCTCCTGGCCAGGGTGGAACGGAAGCCGCTCACATTTTCCCGCAAACAGAATCTTAAACAAGGTAAGAAGGGTCGAGAAATTTCGACTTTCTCACTTTCCCTCAGAGCCATTATTTTGGCAAGCTTCACACCGGTTTATCTCATCTGGTAAGATAATACCTTTAGATGCGTTCGATGCTAGGTTCGCAAATTAGTTCTACAGCTGATTCCGACAAAACATCTAACGTTAAAGGTCAAATACGTTTGTTATTATTTTATTTTCGCCGTTAGTAAAGTGTAAGTGAATCCATATAAACAAAATGCATTGTACAGCATAAGTTATGTAACCCCTATATCAGGGATGAAGTGCCAAAATATCTCAAACAAATATACTAAAAGTTTAAAATTATCATTCTGGCATTCCATAATATACACGAAATTTTGGCACAAACCGCTGTACAAAATAGAAAACACATCGAATACAGCCGTTAACCGTAGGTGTACCAAAAGAATGCGATATGACTAGGTTGTGCTTTGATAAAGAACATATTCAAATGGTTTACACTTACAGTTTTTACACACTGATACGAATGTATCTACACGTTACTTATTAATGCAGGTACCTTCATCCTCTATTGGGTATTTTTTTTTAAAGACAAGGGGCTCACACGATAGGGTATTGTAAGGATTTCCCCGAATATTGAACGTCTGGTCCAGGGCTTTACATTAAATAACTTCCTTTCTCCTGTTTGATTTGTAAACTGCTTTGTCCTATCCTGTCACCTATTCTATACTCCCCTGTCATACCCTATCCTTTCCCATCCTGCCCGTTTCAATCTCCTAACCTGTCCTGGGATGTCCTTATTCTTGTCCATTCCTTAACTTGTCCTTTCTTATCCTTTAACTATCTTATCGTACCCTTTCCAATAACTATCCTATCCTATCCTCATCCACCCTCTTCCTCATCCTATCCCGTCCCATCCCATCCCATCCCATCCCGTCCCATCCCATCCCATCCCATCCCGTCCCATCCCATCCCATCCCATCCCATCCCGTCCCGTCCCGTCCCGTCCCATCCCATCCCATCCTATCCTATCCTATCCTATCCTATCCTATCCTATCCTATCCTATATCCATCCCATTACATCCTTATCCTATCGATTTCACATCAGTTTTCTTAAAGCCCTCGATTGCTTCATAAAAAAAACTGGTGATTTATTTGATTAGGAATTGAATTATAGCCAAATGGAAAGGAACTTAATGCTTTCAAGCACGAAATATTTTGATATGTTTGGTGACTGATAAGCATTCAGTTCTATTTTAAGTATCAGATCGGTTACAAAGTGGCAGTATAAAGGTTTGTAAATTCCACTTTTGCGTAAATTTAAGATCAATCTTCTCACATATCGACAGGTTTTCAATGTGTCTTGGAATTAAATTAGGACTTGCGACTTGGAAGCCAAAATGAGTTGTAATGGTGCTTCACTTAGACCTAATACTTAACCTCCGCATACAAAGTTCCATCCTTACCACAGGAGGGGAGGGCGAGCAGCTGTGAAATACGAGCACCATTCTAAGATATGGATAGTGCTTTGACCAGTACAAAACCGCTGCCGTGGAAAGTTCCAGAGACCGGGGTACAAAAAGGGTACAGACTGACCTAATGGGGGTGGAGGGGAGTGGGGCAACTGTGAAATACAACACCTTCCTAGTGCTTACGGAAGTTGGCGAACACATTATCAGCCACAGAACAGAAGATTAATATTGCGCAACATGAGATGAGATCGTCTGCTATGACGTAATGATACATATAATGCCATAAGAATACGTTTGACCTAGTTGTAGACTCGATCTGCCGGCTGATTTCGAGATAGAATCTCTTCACGTTCCCAGCAGGTTCCTATTAGAATGTTTATACATAGTAATTAATTCCAATACCAACTCAATTTATAACCGTTAAATTGATATTGTCTATAATTTGATAGGTTATATGTAAAAGGGGAGGGAGGAGGTCTGGAAGGACTAAGTGCTATGAGGTGACTAAGGGTGCAGCATTGTTCAACAGTTGCCCTTTAACGCCATATACCTGTATTTGACTTCTTGAGAACTATGAGCAGAAAAAAAGAGAATATCAGAATGTTAGATCAAAGGTTAGACAGTGGAAGACTCGTAATGCCTTGATAATCAAGAGATTCTCCAAATACTGGTCAAAATGACTCAGTAACTAACTTGTAGTTATATAAAAACGAAGGCAGGTATTGAAATAGATATATGCAGTAATATGAACTTTGTTTTGAAACCTGCTACAAGTTGTTCATTGCTTGTCATTCTCCTGTATTTACAGCTTCTGTTTTCAAACGTATTTAGTGTGCATTGCTAACGAATTCTACACCATAGACACTTCCAAATGCAACCAGAACCAATACTCAGTAATTTTGAGATAATTTATTATTATACATTGTTCAATCCAGACTGTAAAAAATCTCCAGTTATACCATGCACAGTGGTTGGGGAGGGGTGAACGATTCAATGGGTCTGAAATGACGCTGGCTTAACCACCCTTTAAAGGCTACTGCTGTTGGACCCCCGTGGCAATTATGAGGCCTCTCCAAGCAATGATGCTTAGAAACGCCACGATGCTAGTAATCTCAGGAGCTGAGCCAAATCTCAATTCAACACAGCAACCTTGAATTGAAACTGACGAAGAAGAATAATAGAACGTTTGTCTGGAGATAAACCAGAAAAAAAAGAAATTGAAACCCGTCTGCGACTTATCATTCGACGTATGACTTAACCTAAAGTAACACAAAACGATGTGTACATTTCAATGTTTACACTGAGATAAAAGAAACGATCTATAGTTCCAGGTTGGCCGATATTCGGGTGGAAATGCGATACTATTGATTGTAGACGTGATTAAACAAGTGCGTGGAATATACTGTAATGCAATTAAGAAAATAAGTCTGGAAGTTCAAGTCTAAGATTATCATGACCCATGAAGTATTTCCACTAGAAAATGAAAGGAATTGTTTTATCTGTTCTCTCTATATTAATAAACATACCATTTTTTTCTCTAAGGAATGTCTTTATAATACTTGAGAGAATTCTTACTATTTTGAAACACTTAAATTATTTAATCCTTTAAATTCTATTGATATTTAGGTGTAACTGTCCAAATCAGATGTAGGGTAACATATAAAACACCCCTACGTATGTATCGCTTTGAAGCTTAAATCTAACAATACATAAGGTGAAAGCCAGTTTAGATAAATAATATATTTGTATGTCAGCCCAAGAGCTGAAAGCTTATTATTTTCTGTTATTTATTTATCTATTACTTCCAGTGAGGTTGTTATATTACTCACGGTATAATTGACAGGTTCAATTACCATTAAGTGAATAAATGTATATTTTGTAATGCTTTTATGTTTGGTAGCCTTTCGTCTGCCCTGGTCATCGATTTTCCCGCCAAGAAAAAAATTGTCGAAATGAAATTGGGTCGTCTGATGATTGATAGGTTCGTGGTAGATCCGATTGTCAAGTATATTGATTACCACTTAATTATCAATGAATAGTCTTGATAATAGAGGCTACTCTCTGAGAGTTTTTAGAGGAGTACCAAGTCTGTTCAATTTGTCTGACTTACAATTGTTAAAGGTTTTTGATAAAAATGAAACGAAATCGTAAGCCAAAGAATCAAGAAAATTTCTGATATTCTAATAACTGTTTCCCCTTGGGAATGTTTTCTATAATCAAAAAGGTATACATAACCTTGCAAGGTCAACCACGTAAAACATAGTGGTATGTGAGATTCAAATGGAACGTAATCATAAGCCACAAAATTATGAAAGTTAGAGATATTATGATAAAGGTTCTTTCTTGGGAATGTATTTTTTTTTTACTTAACATAGTAGTAAGGGAGGTTCAAAGGGATCAGGTAGGCGTAGCTACCACTGATATCGTCAGTGGATATCCATCTTTAAGCCCACTGGAATAAACTCTCTTTGATCAGATTACCTGGACTGAAATGCACGAAGATTACAAATTAATCAAGCTGCCAATCTAGTCAATTAGTCTACATATAGCATGGTATTATCGTAGCACGTAGGCGGTAGAGACGGTTCTATTCTGGAGGTGTACAAACACGTGGTTAAGTAGCACTGTCATGATGATTCAACAAGTGTACACATCTAACCCTTGAGGCCTAGCCAATGTCGCCTAGCCTACATATAGCATATTATTGTAGTACGTAGGTGACAGAGACAGGTGTACAAACACAAGAACACAAGACCAACAAGGTCAAGCTGCAAACAAAGTAAGCCATGCATATTGAAATTCCCACCGAAGTTTTCTTTTTCAATTCTTTGCCATTTTTGTCTCATTTCAGCCCCGGAGTTCATGCAAAGATTATCCGGAAAAGACACAGTAGTGGAAGGCGATGACACGCAGTTAGAATGTGTAGTGTGTGCATTCCCTCGCCCGGACTTATCGTGGTACAAGGACTCGGACCTAATACTTCCCGATCATCCACGGATGTCGGTAGTGGAGGGTGAGGAAGGAAAGTACATTCTAAAAATTAAAAATGTGTGTAAGGGAGACGAGGCGGGATATAAGTGTAAGGCAGAGAATTGTGAAGGGACGTCGGCGAGCACATTTTTCTTATTCGTTAACGGTAAGTTCTTTCTATGTTTATCTGCATGTGTAAAAAAAATCTAAGATGGCGTCAAAAATGGCCGACATCAACCATTTCAATTCGCAAAGGGCTCAACGAAAAATTTCAAGCCTCCTTTCTCCTTGTCATAAATAGGCCTTCGACGATGCCTCCGAAACCCTCACATGTACGTCGCAAGGTATGGAGTCGGCCATGTTTCCATATCATATCACAAACGAGTAGGTCACGTGCTAGTTCTGGTGGCAATGGCACATATTCACAATGGATCTCCTCATTAAAAAGGGAGATCGGAATGCAGGAAATGACCCAGTCTCTTGGTTCCATAAAACAAACTCAAGTCCAGACTTTTCTATGAATAAATTGGTTGTGGAATTCCTCACAGAGTCAAAATTAGTTGTCAGTTTATAGGCGAACGTGACAAATTCCGATATTTATATGACAGTTAGTCATGGATTGATCGACAATAGACCTTATATAATGGCTAATAAACAGATTCTGAGCAATCATTGGTTTTACGTGATTGTGTCAATATCTCGAAGCTTCCTTCCGTGACAAACTAAGTGACGATGGATCGAATGACACAGCGGTACCTCATGATACCGAACACCGCTGAAAAAACGATCGCACCGGAATTTCAACGACCTATTTGTAAGAACTGGTAAAATAAAATTCCATGTCAATTCCCAAGACCGAGAGAGAAAATACAGAATTACTGATAACGTGTGAAACCAAACGAGGTATGACAAATTATAGTTCAAGCCATTAATACTACAGTCTGTATTCTTCTGTCACAAGGGAGACTAGAAGCAAATGAAGAATCGTAGCCCTGGAATGGTTTAATTCCACCACGTTTCATGGACCATTAGCGGCTAATGGTTACAAACATGCTCGTCTCGAGTCAATTTTCTGTTCTGTTCGTCTAACGTCCTATATCAAGTAGCTAAGTCATGGTAGTTTTCTGACTTTCAAATGCTAAGAGGTGTGGTCAAGGACCAACGGTTAGATAAGATCCCTGTGAATCTAAATTATCACCCACAGGATTCAGTTGCTCATCTCAGGTGAAAAGGTCACCAAGTCACAACCCAGGAAATCGTAGATCAGTAGAGTATACCGGCATACCATTAGCAATAATACTTTTTGGGAGAACTTCCTTTCCAATCTCCTTAATAGATCACTGTATTCCAACTGGGTCAAAGCAGATATCCCAGAAAATGTCACACTGACCCCAAAGGCATGCATGCAACGACATTGTTATATCCATAACGAACTTGTGATTGTCTAATTACGAATGCCTGGGGAATGTAATTTCTTTCTGTCAGGAAACACTGTGTTGTTTGTATCGTGATCACTGATAATGGTTTCTGAGTACATCTATAGAGATGGATATCGACATGAACCACTACAATAGGAACTCGCAGTTAAAGAGCTTGTATGTCAGATTCCCGCCTTATTTTCTGTGAAACTTGTATAGCTGCCCATACTCTGAGAACTTTGGATGCCTGTGCTCTGTTATCTGAAGGGTTGCCTTTGCTCTGTGTGTTATGATGCCTTGGCTCTAGGTGTGTTTATGATGGCTTTGCTGTAAGTGTGTTGGGTTGCCTTAAGTAACTTTGGTACCTGCGTTCCACATTCACTCCGGGGTTAAATTGATGTATTCTAACAAATCGATGGCACCCTGTTTGTTTTGATAGATAATGTAGACTCCATGTAAGACTCTGATTGACAGTCAGATTTCAGGATAATTTACTCCCTATTGATTTTCTTTCACTGGTAGAATTTTTAATCCGAGACTAAAGTATGTTTGCAATCAGAGTCCAATTCTATACCGCTTTATCTTCATCACTTGTGCTCATGTGTCTATTATGGTGCAGTACAACTACAATTTGCATCATGTAGACTGATGACTACCCAAATAGGCTGATGACCTCCCCGAATATAACATTATATCATCGTAGTTTGACCTAATGCATCATGATTCATAACGTTCACAAAATTCGTTGAAAAAAAAACAATAATATTTTCATTATCGTTCAATAATATTTTCATATTTCGAAAAATAACATTTCGTTCAGAGTTCAAAAATAGATTTGAAAATTCTTTTAACAGGTAGTGGGATTGATAATTATTTTTAAACATAATCATCTTTAATGATGCTAGTAACACGTAGTCCAAAGACCCCTCGTAATCACGCTGTTATGAACTTGGCAAAATAACAGTATTTTATTACACTGTGTCTTTAACTAGCTTAATTTGGAGTTCTTTGGCAGCTTCAAAGCATCAGAAGCTTAGAGAACTCCTTTCTTCCATTGATTTTTTTTGATTTTTGGTGTATTTCTTTTCGGATGAACATCCATACCGTCCATTCCCTTTGTCAAAAACGTTGTTGTGGATCATCAACTCACGAAATGGTCTGACGTTTTACCAGATGCCAACCCTTCCCACCTGCATCATCAATAGGAAAAAGGTCGAAAGAAGACGCAAGACACGATCTAAACAGACTTTCCCTGTTGTTCCGCCTTTCAGCTTCAGTGAACATTCCAGATTTGTTGATTTTTCATTACATTAACCAAATTCGCCAGTAATTCGAGACTATATAGAATCAGGGAGAAACTTTAGGAGCAATCAAATCAAAATTTGATTGATTAAGGCGTAGCTTTGATTATCTGGTACTAGAAAGTTTAGCTGTGAACAATCCAGACGTATTCTTACACTGAAAACTGTAACTGTTGCGAGGTGTTGTTCAAGTATTTCTTATCTGTTAGATAGATTATCCAGACCTTTTGATCGAATGGTAAATGTACATATTGAATTGAACCTGGCACCTGACAATATTGACTGCAGAAAGCTTCCATGTTGGGTAATAAATTCAAGGCGATAGAAGCCAACTTTGGCGATTCCTTGCAGATGATATCAATACCTTATGCATCGAATCTTGTACTAAAAGCTCGAAAGGTCACAATTTGGGACAGCCCAGGACCAGTTTGGAATGACTAGATCGTTGGACTGGTCAAATGTATCAGAACAAAAAAAGCTTTTATCTCTCTTATTGGGCTGATGCGACAGAAAACCCATTCAAGGCTATGCACACGCACACCACAAGACATATGGTATATTTAGAAAAGCATATTCACATGTCTTAGTGCTTTGATCTAAGTCTCACACCGCCTTTAAGGCAAGAACTCGCTGCTATAGGTTTCTGAAAGTGAAAGGCAAGCAGACGACCAAGCGCGTGCCGATAGGGAGAAGTACTCGTGTATTTATTGAAGTGAAGTTTTCATTGATATTTCATTAATTGGATTACTCAAACAAAACACACATGTTCTTAAACCACGGCAAGCTTTTCTTGTTTTAACGGATTGGCCTAGCTGCTCAACATAGGTAAGTTTGGTTATCTTGTAGCTCTTCTCGAACCCTTTTGCTCTGATTTTATTCACTATTTTCTTCTGATTTGTACGTGCTTTCCTTAGGGTTAATATTGCCAAACAAATTTTCGGAAATTACCTTCTGGATTTAGAAACTTTTGTAATGATTTTCTTTTTCTTTGGTCGAGATGTTTCATTTGAGTTTTGATGGCGAGCTTCGTTTCAGATGTCTTTAGGTTATTTTGATGATATTCGTAGTTTTCTTGGCAAGATACCATGTTCCAATGAATTTTCGAGCTGTCCATTGATTTCTTGGGACAAAATTCTTTTCTGTTGATATTTGGAGGGCAAGATCTCTCTTAGAGTGTCTTTGATGCTATTGTTCTGAAGTTCTTTGCTTGATTCGTTATCATTATCCACATGAATTGTCCCGCGGCATTTGATGACTTTTGAAAGGCGTGTGATTAACAGCTTAAATGATGGCAGGAAATAGATGTGGCATTTACAAACGAAGAAGTTGTACCAAACATACACCAAAAGGCTGGTGACTCTGCCAGGGAAAGACTTCTTGTTCCAAAAATACCTCAATAGATTGGCCACTTTGTTGGTGGACAGGGCAGAAGTTTGATAAACACGCCATTAGTCCGATGACTGGTGATGGAGAGACTAACGATACCAAAAATACATCAATGGTGGACAGGACAGCAGTAGACTGATAACATTGCTTTGGGAGACATGCGGAACACCAATAGGCTGATGACTTTGTTGGGGAGAGTAGTTAAAGATGCACCGACGAAACACTGATGAATCTGCTTGGTACATGTACGATTCCATCTTGGTTAGTGTCAGCTCAAAGTAAGACTCTATTGTGGAAAATGGACCCAATTCGACTTCCATATCGGAGAGTTCTCAGAGGTAATAATGTCTAGCTACAAATGCTATTATCCAAGTCGAAGTGAAATATAAATAGTCTTCTGGAATTTGTCATTTTAAAAACAAAACTTGGTATCGATTCTGTAGTTTTGTCTATGAATTATTCACGCCGCCTTCGCCATGAACACGTTTAGAAACTTCTTCAATTGCTGACATTTCTTTTTAACAGCTCGCTGAATGTTTGAGACATGCCGCTTACTTCCACCTGTAGATTTCCATGGAAAGGGGATACCAGAGTATCAAAGAACGACATTGACAAGATCTCGCGGCATGTCAAAAACAAAGGCTAAGGAGTTCAAGAGAATAAACTTCCCACCAACAACCAACTTTGATGTAATGGTACCAAAAATACCAGTGTTTTGCATTTTTTCCCAACCACAGACAAAAACATTGACCAGGTCCTCAATATTACAGCCTTCCACCATACTGTTATCCACTTTAAATGTTTGTTAAATGTTATATTTTAATTCTGATAAAATGAGAGCGACTTTATCTCAAAACATAGACTTTCGTCTTCCGTGGGTGAAAATATAGAAAGTACACAGAGATAAGCAGCTGATAAGTCTTGTATTTAGTATCAGCTTGTCAGCGGTATATCTGGACCACTTTGTTAAGATAAGAATACCGCTGTTCTGTTCCTGTTTATGTACATACCACTTGTGTCTTATTGGGCGATAGCATACTATCTTATGTCCCAATACTGTT